GCGAGGCATGACCACTGTCCAATCCTGAGCATGATCTGCGATGGTCACGCACCTCACTGTGGCAAATGACCCGCAAAAGAGGCCCACATTTGTGTTATGGTCAACCAATCTGGATGACGAACCTTTCTGGAACCTGATTCGTGGCTTGGGTTCTGAGACGTGTGTAGTTTTTGACACAGTTTTGAGCAGAGTGAAAAGGGCGAATGCGGCTTCAAGAAACGAATTAATTTGATATATGTTTTACTGCTATGACTATAAATTCCATAGATTCTACGACTATATGCAACTCATCAAATAGTTTGTTTGGGGGAAACGGAAGCGCCATGCCCGAGGTCCAGATTGTAGAAGAAGTAGTTTCTAGGAAGGAGTTATGGTGCGACCATATTGTCGATATCGCCATGACCTCGTAGTTGATTCTTTGCTGTAGCAATTGTTTAGAGTGCTTAACAAACTTATGCATCTGGCTTGTTTTAAATATATTTCAGTTGATTGGATTTATTATCCTTCTTGCGGGTTTGATGATTTACAACGAAGTTCTCGCCCAGCCATTTTCGAACCTGTTCAAGCTGAAATGCGTGAACAACCGTCGACCAAACTATGCGCAGTGCAAAAATGGAACTGACTGTTCAGAATCCGGAGTTCGCCTGATTTCTCCGAATACATGTGGCGTCTAAAATCTGCGATCTTTGCCTGCCTGCCTGACTGCAATCATGTGACTGGTCTTCAAGATCTGACGCATAACAGTAAGAAATGTTTATGATAATTAGGTACAGAACTAACTTGACATACGCTTAACAAAGGCTTCATCAAAATCTGCGATTTTATAGCTTACTTTCATCGGATTATTCATTTGTCTGCTTCGGCAAGACAACTTCACTTGAATTAAATATATTTAAAGCCTTTGAGAGTCTGTACCACATTTAATAAAACGATGACCTCAGTCATCCAACTCGCATTCACATTCCTCTGCTGTACAATAAAACAAAATATCAACGATCACAAATCTATTTTTGGAATCTATCTGCGGCATTTCAGAATGAAGAATTCATGGCATGAAGAATCTCTGCGCTTGATTCATTTGAATCATCTGTTAGAGAAAACGCTTCATCAGTCAAACTGTATTTTTTTAAATAAAAGGCTATGGGACAAGTTGTCTATTTAATAAACAACAACAACATTACACAACGTGACACTGCAACAAGAGACATTTGTGAATCTAAGACTCCAATAAAATTAACTCTATGAAATCGAAGCGATCCATCAAACTATGAAGAACCGTATGGAAGATCCACCTCTTTGATTATATCACGTCATGCAGGCAGATCCGACTGCGAGAGAAGACGAGGGTTAAATGACATTAACATTTCTCGATATATAGAGAGGGCAACAGATGCCCCCCCCCAATCTGTATCACAGCAACGTGAAGAGGTCGATCTGTGTTCGACAGGCGTTTCCTGTATGGTAGCGAATCATGTTGAAAATGACGGTTTTGCCATCTGTGTGGTTTGTTGGTCTTAACCACAAATCAGCAAGTTCAATACGGTTCCAGCAACAGACCTAGAATCTAAAACTTTAAATGTTATCATTGATCCTTTAGCTCCTTCGCTGTTCATTTACCCCTTGTTATTGACCAAGCCAATCTCACAGCAGTAATTTCAGTTGGACCCAATTCTTCATTCCTTTAGCGTCAACGTTTCGGCAGCATATGGAATGTGGTAGCCTATTATTAAGAAAGTGCACACTTTCGGCTTTTTTTAAGACTGTGTGCCCTATGACTTTTAGGTGAAGATTTGCGCTTTCCCTCGTTCAGTTACGCTGTGCCCGTTTTCCAAATCTTGTGATGGAACCTGAAGTCAGTTCCTGATGGCCTCAAATATCAGATATGCGCTGGAATGCTTGTTTCACAGGAAACAATTTACTACCAATTTGCTGTAATCGTTCAAGAATAGCGAGGTTGATACGAATGCCAGCGGGCTGTGACTTCTTTTAGCTCCAGCAACCATTGTTAGACCTAACTAACTTTGTGTTCGAAAGCGAATTGATTCGATTCAGCTTTGAGATGTCGTATGGCCTCCATTTATCGCTGGGGTTCAAATGTTATGGAGCTCTGGCTTGCTGAAATGACTTCAAACGAACCTAGAGCAAGAGGACGGTGAATTACGGCGTATAAGTTCGATTAAGAGGTAGAATATGACTCTTACCTGCGGCATTGTAAACTACTATTTTTTGCAGTAAACAGTAGAATATCGGGTTCATTAAGGGAAATTGATTTTGTTCACGCAATGTTTTCGGTAGGACGATTGTGGAAAAGAAATATCTGGTATCCAAATTTTCTGAGGTAAATCTAATGTTAACTGAACCTTCGTAAACGAAGATAGAAAAACTGACGAGGTATCTCACTTCATATTTGGGTCACATCCAAGTCTTTCCCAATTTTCGTCTTGCACACAAGCACAAAAGTTGTTCCATGCTGCATAATCTTTATATTTTGTGCAATGCATCAGTGGAAACACCTAGCGAATCCCAATCTTTTAATATTTTAAACCAAATAAAAGCCTACTTTGACTTTTATTCTATGACCAATGAATAGGAACATCAAACGGATTGGCTCATTATTTTCCTAAACGCGTGTTCAATGCCAGGAAACAAATCAATATTTTTCTCAAAATCAATCAGCTTCACTGAGGTAGCGGCAAATTGCGAGTAAATCTTATATCAGCTACTATCCGCTAATTTGGCGATCTAGTCTTATTTGTAAGGGGTGTTCATTCCCCTTCATTTTCTGCAATCCGTTTGAGCCCGCGTCGTTGGATGACACTCATGATTTATAATACATATATAGAGAAATTAATTGAAGGCAGCAATCACGTAGGTGTCGTCGTAAGTCCTTGTTTTCAGTTCACTTCGAACCAAACCTCCGGCAGGCAAGAGATTTTTCTCTAATAGCAATCATTCTTTGACGAGCGCGCTGAAAGCTTTCCATAATTTTAATTATTCCAGTCGATAAAGGAACTGGAGATCTAATAAGCAAAATTCAGTTTTGTAAAGTTACCAACAAACACTGAACTCGCCTCGTTTGCCTTGCAAGAAGAGACCGGTAACTAAACTGAACATCTTCCTTCACAAGATCCCTGAAATATAACTGCACATTTTGTTTACAATTCAAATAAACGTTTTAACCTGGCTTGATGTATAGTGAAAAATCGGATGAAAACTGTTCCAGAGCTGATCGTTTCGAAACCGTAGCTACTTAGAACATGGGATTCCTAAGAAAACTGCATATATATATAAAGAAGGCGAGATTAAAATTGCATACTACCAGATCCCAAGAAAATACATGGCATAAGCTGAATTTCTCCTATTAATTTTTTTCTCATTTTAATCCATCTTCATCTTCTTCCCTCAATTTAAACTTTTCCTTCCTGTCCCTCTTTTCATCATATTCCATTTTTTCTTTTCTCCGGTTTTCTGTTTCATATCCATGTTCTTTTTAACTGCTTAGCTGCTTCTGAGCGCAATAAAGAATCAATCTAATCTTCTGGTTAGAAATGCGAGATTCACCTTCACCTTTAAATGCCTGGCTATAATGTAATTTCCACTCACTACGTTATCACGCTGAATTCCCATTGCAGCGGTATCTTCCAGTTCAGTCGATCCTCCGATAAAATAACGGCATAGTTGAATTTTAGGTCGACGATCAACTGGTCTCCAAGTCATAAGCTCGTAGTTTGATTCACCTGTAGAAAGTATATACTTGTTAGCTGATTATCGCTGGGCAAACGCCAGTGGTTGAAAAAAAATATATAATTTATAAGAATTAAACTAAATACCTCAAATTTAAAATCCGTAGGCATCGAAACATCATTCGTATGGCTGATATAAGAAAGTTCGTGAATAAAAACCGCTGATCGGCTTGATTATCGTATTCTATGACTTATTACGTTCCATAACAGACGGTCGTTTTAAGAGATACAACGATTTGCAAACCGACCACCCCATTGATGTTGGCACCCTCCTTTGCAAAAGACGGATTACCAAGTGAGGACCTGGCGATAACGGAGATAAGAAAAATCAAATGTGAATGCGGATATGGGCGCCAAATTGGCGAGCAATGTAGCACCATTGTTTGAACAGTTCCAAATGACGATTGTCCAGGGAAACAGAGTGACAGCTGAGGCTCGGACTGAGCTGCTGTCGAATGTTGAGGACTAAGAAGCGTTAGGTTGCCGTCTGGGGGTAAGGAACGAACCTCGTTCAGAACAGCAGAGGTTCCATTGGAGTCAGCGAAAATAAGGCTGCATTCAAGAAATGGCCTGAGAACAAGGAGGCTTCAGGTACAATGCACACAGTGAAACGCTTAAGGCGACCGCTTAAGTAGTGGTTCAGGCGAAAGCTGATTCTTGAGAAGAGATCAGTGACATGTGTCGAAATTTTCAAAGAGCAAATAAGATATTATGCCAGGCCACCTGTCTCCCCTGAAATGGAAGGAAGGACAAGTCCCGGCGCCTTCTTGCCCGGAAAGAAAATATACTTCGGCGATCGTGAGGACGCTACGAAGAAATTCTTAGTGCCGAGCAACTGTATAGGGACTTAACTGAAGAGCAGCAGGCAACAGATATTATTCTTCAAATAGACACAATCACAGTAGCTGTAATGAGCTTGAAAACTGGCGTGAGTGATGAAATCAATGTAATCCGCCATTAGGCGCCTAAAAATATAAGCAAACAAGGTATACTGTGGCTAACAGGTGTCTGCCAAACTGCAGTGCGAAAAAGAAGATACCAACGGATTGTAGAGCTGGGTGATATTACTCATGGTAAACAAGGGCGATCATAGGGAGTGCTCAAACAATTCGGGCATTTCCTCATCGAGCAAAGCTGCTGGAAACTAGGAGTCGTGAAATAGTTGGCTCCAAGGTTCAAAAAGAGCAATGTGGCATTAGCTCAGGCCGTGATACATCTCACCAGATCGATATCATCTGACTACGTTTGTCTGTTGTCCACCATTTGCTTTCACCCATAGAATTATGCCAAGATAGGGTCTTCTACCTCAACCTATTGCAACATTCAAACCTTCGTAATTGTGATTTATCGAACTGGCGGAGGAGTGACTCATAACTGAGAATTCCGCCCAGTGTATTTTGATGTTATGTTAAAATTTGTTTTTGCCCGTTTGGATATGAATAAAAAACTAGAGAAACTGTTCGAATATGATATGTTTTCAATAAATCAAGTCTTCCAGAAATTTCGCTAAATTGTTTTAGTTGTCTTGTTTGTTAGCGTTTTCTAATATTAGTTGAGCTAAAACAGCAAGGTAGCCCAGATTTATTGTGTCTTGCTGTTAAATATGTTGTTCAGATTAACATTAGGCAAGGCTCGCCGCAGTCGTAGCTGTATCCTTTTCCATAAGCAGGACCACCTCTATGAAATTTTTCATATTTTGCATTGTTTCCTCACGTGTCGACAGCCAGTGCACGGTTCTCAAGGCCGAAAGTTGTCTGGAACGAAGTTGGAAATTCCCATCTTTAGATGGAACTCGGCCATCTTCGACGAAAGACGCAAAAACACTATTTTTGATGATCTGAAGGGCAAAAGACGAAGCCCAGGGATTATGCTTGATATCAAACAAATTGCAATCGCACAAGACAGGTAATAATTAATTTCTCCTACCTGGA